ATATATAGATAGATATAGATATAGATATATATAGATATATATTTCTTTCTTTTGAGGGAGGCCGGAACTTCTTGAGTATAGCAGAAACATGAGAAAATTCTGACATTGTACTACCAGACAAAAATGTCGAAAATAGTTTGTATCCTGAAATGATGACTTGTGGGGTTACTCAGGGAGCATTTGTCACTATATGTCGCTGGCATTACTTATCGTAAATGAATCATAAGTTCCGGACCATTTGAGTGAAATTGGATGATTGGTTTGAAATTCATGGATTTACTAAAATGTCCACCAAGTCTGGAGACGTTCGCAAAATGGATTTGTCAAGTCAGTATCAAAGCATTTGAAGCCAACAAGACAGTCACTCAGGAGCAGTCCTGAACTTCCTTACTTAGCCGTTAGGTGGCAGCTTGTATGAATAAAGAGTGACAAACGCGCCATCACACATGGAAGTCACTGTACAGGAATGATACTCAACCTGTCACGATAAATAAAAAAATATCCATCCATCTATTCTCCGAGCCGCTAACCCTCAGTCGCATATATTAATTGCAATTGACATTCTTACCAATACAGGCGATTTTTGAAGTCACGCTTTTTATTATTAATTGATGTACAAGTGTATAAAAAAAGCTCAGAATTATTTATTTTAAAGGGGAAAAATCTGCTTCATGCGTCTTCACTGACATGCACTGCTTGCACTCATGACATGGCTGCAAATTAGTGCCCAGTGAGTGAACGTTTTCAAAGACATACTGCCCATTTACTTAACGCATTGTAAAGACCTGATTTTCCAACTTTTGACACAAGGAACATGTTCCAAGATGGAAATATTTTTCAGAGGTCGCAACATTGCACTTAAAAATAAATTAGTGTAAGGCACATTGTGTGAAAATTTTTAGATTTTTCAATGTTTATTATTTTCCCTATTAATTTCAATATGTAAAAAACATGTTCTATCACATCAACGTAAATGTTTTTACATAATCATAGGTGCTGTTATCTCTAATTATACCAGTACTACATAGGGAGCATCAAGAGGCTGCCATGTTTCGCCACCATTTTTCTGCTACGGATACTCAAAGGAGAGTGTAGTGTCTCAACATTATTACTACAACATGTTTAACAAATGTAATGCACGTACTTATTCACTTGAGGGAATACTCCATGTCGTTTGTGATGACATTTTGCTTGCACCTCTGCTGAAGAAATTGGTGGTAGGTTTTTGATGTATTTGTTCTCTGTGGCACCGTAGTGCATATGCTCGAAAATGCACATGCTCCGAGCTTAGGTCATTGCATTCTGTTAGTTCACCATTAAACGGCACTAGATTCTACACACCGTACCTTTAAAGATAAACAGAAATAAATGGCTTCCAGATAATTTGATTTTGATAAAAATGAAATCTAAAAACTTCCACTAACAACCCGGGCTAAACGTAGCTTCTCTCCGAAATACAAAGCTTATCTATCATCCGAAATGTATCACTTCAACAAGCTTCCTTGACACCACTTTAGACAGGGCTGCGGCATACAGTGGTATCTCTTCTTACGAACGTCTCTTCATACGAAATTTCCAAGTTACGAAATGCCTCAACAGGAAAATATTGCCTCTAGTTACAAAAGAAATTTCGAGATACGAAAGGTAAAAATACAGTATGGCTTGCTACTCGCAGCTCCAATTTTCCTGAATGCAACATACTTATAGCTACTCTGCCATTGGCTATTCCCCCAGCATCATCCTGGCATCCCATTGGCTAAGAGGGACTTCTACCATATGTGTCTTTGTGTGTAGATAGATAGATAGATAGAGAGAGAGAGAGATAGATAGATAGATAGATAGATAGATAGATAGATAGATAGATAGGTAATTAGGTGTCAATGCAGCGCCCTGGTCACTCGCCCAGGAGGTATTCCGATGTTTTTACATCGATGTGAATCACCCAGAAAAATTGTTCAACAATCGGGCGATGGCTCACTATGCTGATATTTGCCTTGGATATATTTGAAGGATTGGATTAGTTCTTGACCAAACGCCAGGCAAAAAACACTTCTGAGAGAGAACATGGGCTAAAGAGGGCAAAAAACAATGAGGACGCAGTTAAAAGTTAAATGACCATCATTTTTATTCTTTATTCTTTGTTTTTTACATTATGCACAACTCGCATTTATTGTGCAATAATCTAATTTGTAACATGTATTTGTTACATATTATGATGCATTTTTGTGCTCTAAAAAAAAATATATGTCTGAATTTTGGGGGGCTTGGAACGGATTAGGGCATTTACATGGA